TTCTGTAATATGTTTTTTAGTCAAGCAAAGAACTAATGGTTTCACTAATATTAAAAAATTTATAACTTCATCCCCGTGCGACAAAAAACCTTGAATATTTATATGGTATATATTGTTAGAAGATTTGTTGGCCTGTAATTGCAATTTGTCACCATAAGAAACTTTATTTTTTGATTTTTCATATTCGATTTGGACCATGTTGCAGGTATAGTGGAAGGATGAGTGATTTATGTCGAAATTTGTGTTGTACTTCAAATTTGATTCCCTGCAATTTGGACATGTTACTTCATCTTTTGATATTGTACAGTTCTGAATCTGATGATCACTATTACTACATTTTAAACAAATACTGGTCTTGGTGCAATTCTTCGCTGTGTGGTGAAATCCGCCACAATTAAAATACCTCCGAAGATCGTAATGCTCAAAAATTGTACAAACATCCATGGATACAAACAAAACTCCTGCTTTCATTACTGCTTCAAATGTCGATCTATCCAATTCCAAAACTGCCATATACCGAAATTTCATTTTTTTGATTACCACTACTTTAATCGAAGCATCACTATTTATAATGTTGTTTCTCATTTTTAAGTCTCTAACCAATTCTTCATTGTTTAATTCTTCACTGAAATCCACGACTTTAATCATTGGTAATTTTTTGTGGCCTACATTTACTTTATAACACTTTTTTCTATTTCCAATTTTAACTTTTCGATATCATCGATATCCCTGCATTCAATTTTCAGTGCTCCATCTTTCAGATCATTTACTTTTTTAATAGACAAATTCATTTTTGCTGGATTTATATACTTGCTCAATTCCTTCTTTGTTTGCGTACAACTTTGATTCGTATTATTAGGATTAGTAACAATTGTATTTTTCGATTGTGTTGTTATGTTTATATTTTTAGTATATTTTACCGTGTTTTTTTTTGACATGGCGAAGTAATGTTGGTGTTTTCATGTGCAGAACTTTTGACCAAGTCTGCATAAGATTTACTGTTATTTACAGATGTATCTTGTAAATTCTCAATTTGTTTATTTAGTTTATCTATTTTTCATGTAGTTCTTTTATCAAATTTTCTTGTATCGAAATAGTATAGTCTTTTATCTTAAAAATGTCTGTTACACAAAATCTTTTTTCTTCATGTGATACATTCACCTCATTTGCTTTTCCACCAGCTTCAGTCCCATCTTCATCGGTCTCCATATGGTTCAACAAGAAAGAACGTGTGATGTTTTTATACCAAATGCATATCCGCCAATTCTTGATTGGTAAAGTTTTCCATTAGCAACAATTCAGTTTTGTTAAATTCTTGAAAACTTCACAAATACGATAGCACGACTAAGGCGATATGGAATGCAGCTACAAGAAACAATCTCTGTTATCGTTTTTAAAGATAACAACATACAAGCGCCGGATATGAGTCGCTATACTCAAATGTTTTCTACTGTTACACTGGATAACCCCTACAAGTTTGATCCCATGAAACACCCTGTAGCGGAGCTGACTGATACAAGCAACCGGCATTGCAATAATTTGCAATGTTTGGCAGTTTGACTATTACACTTCCATTATATCCTAGGCTGCTGCTCTACGGCAGAGCAAATTTGATGGATTTCCAAAAGTTAAACAAACATTTAACCAAAAAGTCGCTTTTCCTGCAAGTTCCATCACACAGGCTGACATCCACTAAAAACAGCCCAAGTCAAATGGTCAGAAAATTGTTCAATAAACTGCCGCATACCCTGAATATCTCGCCACTTAGATTCTTTAAGAACAGATATAATATCTGATCAGCAATAATTATTGCTTCCACAGCCAACTGCTGTATCTAGCGTTTTTTCCATTTTTTAAGAGCTGTTTTATGGTCTGTTTGTTTGTTGAAGGTTTAGTTAGCATTAATGATACAATGTCAATTTTGTATAATTGTTCATGTACATATTTTTTAATCGATTTCCTGTAATTTTACATTCTCCTCTAGTGAAATTACATTACTGAGCATTTTGAGTATTCATGAGTTGAATTTTTTAATTTCACCTTAAACATTTTTAAATTCGAACACTGTTTAATATCATTATTCAATTCATTAAATTCAAATACTCCCTTTTGGAATACAAGTTTGCTAATTATGCTACCATTACAATTTTGCAGATGAAAATCTATACTGCCTATAGGTTTGTAGATATGATAATGATCATTTTAAGAAGTTTTCAAAATGAGAACTAAATAATATCATTTTTTTAAATCAACCAATGCATTTCTAACATACACTTAATCTTAGAATATTTGTTTTTATTTAAAATGATTCTCATAGCTTTATTTTGTAGTAGTTGTAATTTTGAAAATGTTTTCAATTGCTGTAAACAAGAAGGCTGAACAATATAAAAAACTGTGGAAGATTTATAGTATTAAACACGGAACATATACTGAGATTATGGGAAGCTCTAGTAGTAGTAGTAGTAGTAGAAAGATTTATTTAGCACATTTGGCTACATAAACAGAATAATTATAAACAACTTAGAACTAGTAAATTCAAGCCATATGGTGTATGATGTAAATGCTGGGCAACCTATAATTGCAGATTTAACAAGTGATTTCTCAATTTTACTTTAAATTTTGTCAAAGTTTTCTGGTCTTTTATCTCTGAGTATAATTTATTATATTCAATCAACCTTGATGGAATACAGATTTGTAGCATATGTTATACTTTTTGGTTATTAAATGGAAGACATCTTTATTTCTGGTATTAGTAAATGATGGTCGACATTTGATGATGTTAAATTAGTTAGACTTGATGGAAATATATTATTTTTTACTTTATAAATGAATATCATTACAAGATATTAATTTTTTACATTGAGCCATTTTAATTTGCTAAGCATTTGCCTAATTGGAGTATATTTATCTTTATTTAGTATTACTCTCATGCACTTATTTTGTAAAATTTGCAGTCTTTCAAAAATGGAATTATTTGCTAAATATAGAATAGTCGAACAGTACAAGAAATTTGGAAGAATGATGGTATTATAGATAATTTTTCTGCTATATGAACTCAGACATCCAGAAACTCTCGATAAATATCCCACTTTACTACTAATCTTATTTATAACTTTTTCATAATGAATATCAAAAATTAATAGAGAGTCAACAAAAACCCCCAGGTATTTAAAATTTTCTACGAATTCAATATCTTCACCATCAATATTCAGTTGAAGATTTGTACATTGTTTTTTTCCGATTAACAAGGCTTTCGTTTTACTTGCATTTAATTTTAGTCTGTTAGATGCTAACCATTTTGAGACAAGCTTCAACTCTTCATTTATATAAGAGATACCAGACTGAATATTTTTAGTACTTATACGTATATAAATCATAGTGTCATCGGCGAAAATCTGAATTTTGCATTTTTTGACTATGGCAGGTAAATCATTTATGTATAAAATAAAAAGAAGTGGTTCCAGGATACTGCCCTGTGGAACACCCAACGTATTTTCAATTTTTGATGAAATAGTGTGATTAACTTGTAACTTGCATCCTTTTAGACAAATAATTTCTAAACCAATCTAAAACACTTCCTATTATACGATATGCCTTCAATTTATCTAACAAAATATCTCTATCAGAGTCTATGGCTCTTCTCCAATTCTCAGTTACCAACTGCAGAGCCGTTTCTGAGGAATATTTTTTTCGAAAGCCTGCGTGTGCCTCCACTAAAATTTTGTTTTCTTCTATAAACTGCATTAATTGGTCATGCACTATGGACTCTAATAATTTTTCAATGTCTGGTAACACATTTACTGGTCTCATATCGCTGCATCTTTTAGAATTTTTTATTTTGGGAACTGGTGTTATTGTAGAGCATTTCAAATTTTCAGGAAAAGAACTGCTTCTCAGTGAACAATTAATCCAATTTAATACAGGATATCCCAAAATTTCGAAACAGTTTTTCAGCACGTTTTTAGTAGTGATTTCGGTACAGTTGTTATTTGATTTTAAACTGTTTACCTTTTTTCTTAAATAATTCAATGATACGCTGTGAAATTTTGAAAGTGTATGCAACATTTCCCCCTGGAAACTGATTTTCATATAGTCAGGTGCAGTAGAAGTAATTTATCTAGGTTCGAGATGTATCTACTGTCATCTAGACTACTTCCAAGGAAGTGGACGACTCGACCTGGAAAAGCTGGAATGGTTCTCGGCTCGTCGATAGGGGAATAAATACCCGACCAGATGGCAGAAGCAGGCAGACACAGTCGAGTCTACGGACAACGATGAATAACTCAACGCGATAGTCCAATCGACATAGTAATAAATTTGTCATACATTATTGTTGAAGTGATAATTAGACTTTGAACAGTAAGAACGGTGTTTTCGTGGCAACATTACAACTTTTATTGTAGTTTTCTATATTCTCGCATGTTACATACCATCAATTGATGGCCGACCGAGCTATTAAAGATTATTAGTATATCATTATTCAGCATTCTTGTTAGTAAGTACACACTTAATAACTCTCAGCACAACCTCAAAGCCAGACGGGTTGCTGACGGTTTGCTTTTGGTGACGATAGTGGCTTTAACAACCCGAATAGGAGAAACAGAATTAATCGTTGGCCACGGTCTAAAGAAACAATACCAAATTACCCATTGCCTTTTCAAGACCATTATTCAAAAAGATAAAACACGCAATTCGGAAAGACGTAGCTCATAATAATCAAGGCCAATCTGCTACTATCAATGGATTTGATTACGTCACACAATAAGGAAACTTCAGATTGCGTTTTTTGTTATGATAAATTGAAACTAGTAAATCACAAGATGAATAAAAACTAATGTTTTTATATCTTCTTGTTATATCAGATATAATAAGTAAGTTTGATTTTGAATAAGCAGTAAATAATCTTTGTAGATATTGCCATAAAGCACGGAGTTATCGTAGTAAGGTTTAACGTTAATCATTCAATTATTTAAAATTATGTACAGAGTGCTTTATCTTACCTGCACTAGTTCAGGGAACTTCAGCAATAGCAATTCTACAATATCTCGATGACCATGGTAACAAGCTATATAAAGTGGGGAATACTTTGTGACAGAATGGTATCTGCCGTCAGCACCATGTTCCAGTAATATTTTTACTATTTCTTTATTCCCCACTTGACAGGCGCTACAAAATATAAAACGTAAATTTAATTTATACGAAACATCATAAGGAAGAGCAATTTTAATAATAAAATATGTTGCATAGCAGAGTCACAAAAAGTTTGACTAATGGTTATTTGACCTCCAGTCAAAATTTTACAGTTTTAGACCCAGTATGCAATTGTAACAGAAAAGAAGTATCTTTACTTGAGCGGATAAGGCAAACATTACTAGACTTAGTAAGGGCAATGATGGGCAGCAACCAAGACAGAGCCTGTTACTGACTACACAGTAATATGTGAAATTTATTGACATGTGACATTCTCAAGGAAATTTTAATGCTACTATGCCACTAAAATCTGCACTTAAGGTCTACCTCGGCTGGTGGTCAAAAAAAAAAACTGGCAGATGCGATCAGAGGTATTAAATCATATGGGGTTGTCCAAAACGGATGCAGGAAAGTAAACGCATATTAAAACAAGAAAGATTGATATTCAAATCAAGTTGGATACTTTGAAGGTTCATTTATACCATTTATGTATGAAAAATAATATCGCTCGAATGTTCACCACGACTGGATTTACAGACGTCCACGCGATGGTCGAAATTTTCAATGACATTTTGCAACATGGTCGGTTCTATGGCATTTATCTAGGCAATGATGTTGCTTTTGAGTTCTTGGAGGGTGGCTGGTTTGTTGACGTAGGCTTTGCTTTTCAAATATCCCCATAAAAAGAAGTCCAAGGGAGTCAAATCGCACGATCTTGGTGGCCATGGCACATTTCCTCTGCGCGAAATCACGCGATCACCGAAGAAGGACTGCAATCGATGGACATTGACGTTGGTTGTGTGGCATGTTGCACCGTCTTGTTGGAAATAAACATCGTCCATATCCATTCCTTCAAGTTGCGGCAAAAAATAGTGCTCTATCATCACGTGATATCGCTCAGAATTGACGGTAACGGCGTCCCCAGACGCATTTTCGAAAAAGTAAGGTCCGATGATGCCTTTTGACCACAATGCACACCACACAGTCACTTTTTGAGGATGCATCGGCTGCTCTTGATACTCACGGGGATTTTCGTTCGTCCAGATGCGGCAGTTTTGCTTGTTTACCGTCCCATTCAAAGTGAAATGCGCTTCGTCGCTGAACATGATTTTTGATGAAAAATTGGCATCAATTTGGCGGTGTTCAAGGAGCCAATCTGAGAACGTTCGGCACGAAAAATGGTCGGCCCGACGCAGCTCTTGCGTCAATTGGATCTTGTAGGCGTGTACATTCAAATCCTTGTGGAGAATGCGGAGCAAATTGGTTCTCGAAATGCCCAATTCTTGGGATCGACGCGTTGTTGATTGTTTCGGATCGTCTCTCACACTCTCCTTCACAACAGCAATATTTTCCGGTGTGCGAACGCTCCTTGGCCGGCCAGAGCCTGGCAGATTTGCCACAGAACCTGTTGCCTCGAATTTACGCACCAGACGACCGATGGTTGTTTCGTTTGGGCGGTTGTTGCGACCGAAATGTTCACGAAGCACGCGAAACGTGTTTTTTATTTTTGCACCATTTTTGTAGTGCTCTTGAATAACTTTAATGCGGTCTTCAATCGAATACGAATCCATAGCGATCTATGGTAAACATTCAACTAACAAAATGACATGTCGGTGACAGAAAACAAAGATGGCGTCTATGTCAAATTGACGTTTACTTTCCTGCGTCCTTATTGGACAACCCTTTACAATTTTCGCGATTACAATACTTCCTTGCCAGTGAAAAAAGGAAATTTTGGCATTTTTTGACCGAACTGATCACTAAAATAAAAAATACTAAAGATACTTACGTGAATAAAAGCGTATTAGCTCCACTAGGTGACATATTGACAATGAGCTCGGCGTCGTCACGCAAAGAGAGCAGTAATTGTTGAACTGATCTAACGTCTCCATGACTACACGCGTCCCTGATAGATGAATGAATATCCAGTCTTGTTTTCTCTTTGGAATCTGGAATTTAAATAAAATGTCGATCAGATTAGAAGATAATTGTGGGAGTAACAGATCAATGACCGCAAAACTAGAAAGGCAAATTTCCAGCTGTAACAGTTCCAAACTGATCGACGTTCCACTATAAGCAAGGTATACTCAACGGAACATTACACTTCGACAAATCGCGTGAGATCGACACAGGATTAATAAGAAAGTGTTATTACTGCATTCAGTAAAAAAAATGTTTGTTTCTCAGCTGTATAAGTTCCATTGTTCAACAAGCGAATATTGCAGGTGGCAATAACGTCAAACGACGTTATGAATAGATATAAAATATCACAATGACTGTGGCAGTTTCAATGTTGGCCGATATTACAGAGCTTTTAGTGACATAATCTCAAAAGGAATTGTACGAATTTAATAAATTAAGTAATAATATCAAGATGTGTGTCAGTTTGAAAATGTTCAAAGGGAAATTGAAAAAGTATCTCATGGAAAACCAGAATTCATAGTAGTGAGATATTGTATAAAAATTTGTAGTCCTGAAGACATAATATATTTTGTGATATACTGTGTAATATGGATGTTATGGACATTGTAGCATTAATGCTAAATATATCTAAAATAAACAAACAAACAAAATTTATTGACCACATATTATTAGTACACTAAACATTTTATTATAAGTGAAAGTTCCAATTAAAACCACATAGATCACAAATTACACTGGGATACATTTTAAAGCAACCGGGCATTCAGTAGTTAACAATAGATCGAATCAGCGCCACCTTCAACTAACGAGTCATGAAGAGAAAAAGGCAACACCGCATCATGGCATTTTGGGGTCCGGCCGTCCAGCTGGTGTGTGCCGTTATTAAGGCGCGTTTTCACGGGTCGATCTGAGTCGAACAATTTGTGTCGAACATTGAATCGAAAGCAAAGTGGTGTCGTTTTTATTTTTGGTCAACATACATCGCCTATCGTGTAAACCTTTTTGCTTTCAACTCAGATCGAACCATGGTCGAATAACCCAGGTGGTTCAACTTAGATCGACCCGTGAAAACGCGCTTTTACAGAAACTTCGATTCGAGCATTTTTTTGATGAATCTCAAATTTACGAGTACAAAGTACAAAACAATTTCACTAAACATAAGTTCAAAATCGAAATTACAGAATGTGAATACTCTATGCGAACCCTAGAGAGGGAAATTCACAAGAATACTAATTATGTAGTGCTTCTTATAACTAAGTTGTTTGCTGGCAGACATATACAGGAGTAGAATCGTACTTGAGATGTATAAATGAGGTATTGCATTACCACACCAAGTTACCAATTTATATCAGGAGGTTTTGCCAAGAGCCATATATCTGTGGTACTAAGGCAAAACCCAATATGTCAAAAAATATTGATTTTTTGTTTTTAATGTCAATATGTACACCAAATGACGAAGTATTCTATGGCAAGACCCGATATAATTTATAAAATTTCCGTAACACTCTAAATTAATGTTATTTTTTTAAGGAGCTTAAAATTTAAAAAAAATTGGAATTACTAAAAAAATTATATTCAGAATAAAGATAAGAAATAAATAAAATACATAACTGGAAACAAAACAAAAAACAGTGTACCAACTAAAAACAACGATAACTGAAAATTAAATAATAAGAGAAAATAAAATAATTGTAACAGAATAATAACTAAAAGGATATTAAAAAAGATATTGCACATTTTATATATCATTCACACATTGAAGGAGCTTTCTCCGCTTTTGCAAATCAAAGCTTGTGACTGGGGATTCAGTTACACTATTACGGTTGACCCGAGAAGTAGATACATTTTGTTTAAGGTTTGCTTTGTCAATTAATTTTGTATTATTTTTAAATTTAACATAATCATTTAAAACAATATTTGAAAAAATTGATAGGAGGTTTAATAGGATATCTCTATAATTATTCCCACATAAGCAAGTTTGAGAAAATTCCTCATAAACAAGATCTGATTCTATACTTTGCAAGGTTAGATGACATAAAATATTTTTCTGCTGAGTACTATGTAAAAACTCATTTTCTAGTCTATCTATGTTTATTATAAATTCGAAAATGGCATACATGTGGTAAAAAATAATATTGACATATTCAGTTGGAATAGACAGTCCTCCTCTTTGCAAATAATTAAAATATTCACCTCCAAAATTTGTTCCTTTTTCCTTTACAATGAGTGAAATGCATATGGGACAATTAAGTTTTTTAGAAATACTATGTGAGGCATAACCAGAAATGTACATCTTAGTATCGTCTTCTAAATCACAATTTGATAAATAATTGCTACAAAAGATTTCTGAGAATATATCAAAACTTTTGTCAGGATCTAAATTTTCACTACTTCCTGGTGTACATGATAGATTTTGAAATTTGTTCTTGATTACTGTGAATGAAAATGACTGTGATGGTGATTTAATAATGTGTTTGAGTCTGATCTTCTTCTCAGAATGGATGACATCATCACAGGAAACATTATAATTGCATCCACTTAAAAGACGATAATTACCAAACCGTTTTTCTAGAGCATCAGTGGAAAATTTACCAACTAAAATATAGGAAACAGGAAACTTCTGGAAGGAGTGTTCTATGATTTTTAAAATGACTGTAGTTGTTAAATACAAAGCAGTGAAAGTCTCATTTGTCAAGCGGCCATTGTTGTTTGGAATACTGTTCCATTGCTCGAGCCAAATCAGAAATTTTCTCAGATATTGGCACCGGAAGTCATCTACACTAGAAACATGCTTTGAAAATTCATTTAACTTACATACACCCTTAATGCAACTTTTATTATTCATAACATCCCACCAATTTCTGATGATATCTAAAAATCCTGCAGTTTCTGTGAAGCCAAAATCTTTAAGAGCTGCTACAGTTGAATGGTGGAATAAGTTATCTGCAAGATGTACCTTTTGTCTATCAAAATTATTTGGGTGTATTGTTTTTTCATTTAATTTGAAAGCTTTCTTAACTACGGAATGTTTTTCTAAATTATACACATTATTGACTTCATGAAACTTGGCATGCTGTGCTTCTCCAGTCTCAAAATGTGGGTAAACAAATGTGTTGTCAAGGTTCTTTAGGTTGATCCAATTGTTACGGATATTTTTGAAAAGATGAACAAAATCAAACAACAAAAATATTTTGTTGTCTGGTGAAGATGGACTATGGAAGTATTCTGGAAAACCTGTATTTGGGTTTATATAACTGTTGGATGAACATTCTGACAATTTTTTAAACATAGCTCTATTTATCCTATGATTATCAGATATGATACATAAAACTTTAAAGCCTGACCTGTAGGGTGTCGATCTCAATTCTGCCTCGTAGTTTCCCTTGCAGCCTGGTACACAGCAACGCTTAGGCATATTAATTAAAAGAAAAGATGTACCCACTCGAATCTACACACTATACAGACGTTTCTAACAAGCACCGATTCACACACATTTTAAACACATCAAAGCACGATTTTATACTACCTAAAATAAATACTTTCTGCACGGTTTGAAGAGCAAAACTAAGTAGATTACTCTGGTTTGTATGAATTGCACTGTTCCCAGAGATTTACAACAAAATTGCACCAAAAAGTCGGAGGTTAGGAATATAAACAAAAGCCCGCCAAACACCTGTCTGTGGAAGACCCCAAAGCTGCGTTGCCATATCTACCGTTCATGGCTCGTTAGTTGAAGGTGGCGCTGATCGAATCGTAATCTGGCAATTTCCTACCTATTGTAACATTTCCGATAAATTTCTACATTGTATTAATAGTTCCGATGAAATCCAGTCATCCGTAATGTTTTTACGATTGACTATGAAGCGAATGAATGGCTAACTGGGTAGGATATGGAATTATACTAAGTGACATATAAATCCGAACACCCAGTTTAAATGGTTTTATTTTAATAAAATTTTGTATAAGTACTTAATGAAGCATAATAAGTAAATGATAAAAATTTCAAAATGATTGCACTGCTTTAAAGCCCTTTGACCTTTAATAATGTGTGGATGCACCCTGATGTGCTACGCATTCTCCAACGTGCCTAGGCATGCTCCTGATCAGGTGGTCAATGTCCTCCTGTGGTATCTCATTCCAGACAACCACCAACTCCTCTCGAAGTGCTTCTAGAGTCTGAGGAGGACGTTGCAAATTGAGCAATCTCCTACCCATCATATCCCACACGTGCTCAATTGGGGATAAGTCGGGAGATCTTGGTGGCCATGGTAACAATGTGACATCATTATGTTGAAAGAAGTCTATTGTGACTCTTGCAACATGTGGTCGGGCATTATCTTGTTGGAAAGTTGGATCTGCCAGGGTGTCAAGATAGGGTAAAAGATGGGGTTCTAGAACTTCGTGGATATAACGCTGCGCGTTCATGTCACCTCTGATGAAGATTAAAGGTGACCTGGAACCATAAGCTATAGCACCCCAAACCATAACTCCAACAGTGTGATGAACATGTCTTTCAACAAAAAACTGTGGATTCCTCCTTTCACCACGTCGCCTTCTAACCCTGGCACGACCATCGTGCATACCTAAACAAAATCGAGACTCGTCACTAAAGACAATACTGTTCCATTCCTGATCCCAGAGTGACCGTTGTCTGCACCACTCAAGGCGATTACGTCGGTGTTCTCGAGTTAAAGGGAGGACCCAGTGTGGCCGGTATGAAAACAAGCCAAAACTTCTCATTCGTCGGTAAACACTTCGCATGCCAATAGGTCTTCCGTGTTCTGCAAACCATTCATTTGCAATGGACCTGGTAGTGGAGAAACGGTCCCTTAAGGCCAATAATCTTAGGCGGCGATCTTCACGGTCTGTTGTTCTACGGCGGCGTCCAGTGCCCCTTGCTCTTTGCGTACGGCCTTCTCGAAGCCATGCCTGACAACACCTAACCACAGTGTCTACACTTCTTTGCACTCTAACTGCAATTGCCCGAAAAGAAAGTCTAGCTTCCCGAAGTCCCACTATACGGCCC